CTCTCTCTCTCTCTCTCTCTCTCTCTCTCTCTCTCTCTCTCTCTCTCTCTCTCTTTAAAGCATTTTTTTTAATTCATGAGCTATTTGCTTCCTGTTTTGAGAGTAAGTAAAAAGGATCTTTCTAATGCTAACACTTAAAATCACAAATTAACCAAAAATTTGTGTTTTTGAACTATGGGTTGAAACCAGAGCTCCCAGTTAGATTACAGACTGCACAAAGTAAAACCCAGTATGGTTTACATGTTTTTTAGGGTGATGACTAAAGAGCCATATAGCAAAGTACTACTGATTAAAATTAATCCCATGCTAATTAAACTCATCCTGTTGAAAGATAGAATAAGATAAAAGTCTAAAGGTCTAATATTATGTGATAATCAGCTGCACCTCATTTATTTATTTTTTGTTTGCTTATATTGAGCTATTTTCTGAAACACTGGTCCGAAAGACAGCGTAAAACAAACAGCTTGTATCATTTTTACCTTATCTGTTAAAATAAGGTAAATATGATAGTAAATGCATCGAGGTTTCACCTTTTAAGAGTTTGTTTAAGTTCAAATTTGATATATATTTTTTGTTGAGAAGTGACTAATATTTTGTCCAAAAAACGTTTTTAATCAGTTCATCATTTATTAGTGTATTAGCAGGGGAAGACACACTGCACGTAATTATCATTAAATGTCACTTTGTCCACTGTTAACTCTACAAACTGTCAGGTTCAAACATTATCTAGATCTGATTAAAAATTGGTAGCAATTTGATATAATAAATGTGCAAGGATACATGCGACTGCTACATGTTTTATCAGCAGGAACCCTTCCAAGACTTACATAAAAGATCTGACGTTTGCTTCAATCAGTAAATAAATGATTAAAACGTCACACCGGAGCTCTCTCAGCCTTACCTGTACCGTAGGCTTTGGCAAACAACCAGCGGAGATTTGCTTCTATTTTGGCCCTTGCAGAGTCGTAGAGCTCCAGTGGTACAACATGAACCTCCATGCCTCCTCCTCCTCCTCCATCGTCACCACCATCCTCATCATCAGCTGCTGTTGTTCTCCTCCAGGTGCTGTCCCTGCCAGCACTCACGTCCATCCTGCATGGGAGAAAACACAGATTTCCCTGCTAGTGGAGGCAAACAGCATTACATCATCGGCATTGGGAACAAAACAAGCAGGGCCCTGCCTCAGCTTCCTTCTCTTAATGGTGATATGAAATCTGTTAGACTCACCTTGTCTGACCTGTGATGTTAGTCACTAATATTCACATGTCCAGTCCATAAAGGCCCTTTAAATCCCACTCAAACATTATTTCTATGGGGTTGAAATAAAAATGCAATATGTTAGGAATATAAATAGAAACGTAGTTTTTATATTAAGCTATTGTCATTGTCATTTCCTGTTTGACAGATTAGACTGACCAATCGTTTGATTGCTAGGCTGAAATTCTAAGACAGCAATTTATATGGAAGACCCACCTCTAAGAGCACATTTAGGTCCAATACGCTGCTTCAGCCTTTCTGCAGGTGTAGCTGTTAAAACATGCTGGCCTGGCTTCAGCTAACGGTGGAAAAACAGAGACTCCTCCCTGTCCAGTGGAACGAATCTCTCTCTCTCTCTCTCTCTCTCTCTCTGGTTTGTGAGGATAACGCTGCGGCTGGCGGCTGATGCTCGGTAATCCAATAATAAAAAATCTGGTTGGCAACCATCCGGAAGTCCTTTCTCGAGGAAATTATCCAGGTTGCAAGGCTAGCTGCCTTGCGCTGCAGCTGTCATCGGCCCTGACAGAGGACTGACGGGGTCTACCGGTAATCGAGCCGCCCTGTTGTAGGGAACCTGTCTCTATGGGGACGGGGTTTACTGTCAGACCTGCAATGCATCGACCCGCCAGCAGAGAGCGGTGTTACTTCTAATTCCGCCCGGCTGCAACACACATGCTCACCAGCAGAGGGCGCTGCTGTTCTTCTTTAGTCTCCACGGCGTTTCCTTTGGCATTAAGTCTTTCGAAATGTGTTTAATATTTCATCTCACTCAGTTCATAATTAAAAATAATAAACGTTCCTATCTAAAAAAATCATAATATTAATATTTATTTTACAGTTTTAAGTGAGAAAAACTATTCCTTGTTTTGAACTGACTGAGCATGTTTTTATTTTTGTATTTCTCTGTTCAATCAGCATGTCAAACTTTTAGTCAAGATTTGGGGGATCTTGGTGTTTAACCACATATCAAATTCCCACAGTTAAAATAAAGTCTGTGATAACAATAGGTTATGGCGTGTTAAGATTTGCATGTGTGTGATATGAATGTGGG